CTATTGCTCAACATGTTCGTGTGTTCATAATTGTTTTCTTTTGCTTTTGATTTTTTTATATTGCTCAACATGTTCGTGTGCTCATAATTATTTTTGTTTTTGATTTATTTGAATGAAGAAAAAAGAAGCTCAAATCACTACAAATCCTCTCAAATTTTAAAACAAATCACCTTAAATCACACACCAAATCACACAATAGTATTTTATATTTTTAATTATTTAAATTCCAAAATCACCACCTATACTCAAAATCCACACAAATCCACATAAATTCCACCAAATTATAAACTCCACCAAATCCATTAAAATACCACATCCAATACCCCTCCCCCCTAATTAGTGTATTCCCTAAGCAACAAGTGCGTTTTCATGGTATACAATTTATTTTCTGTTAGTTTCAAAAAAAATAAAAAAAATTATTTTCTGTTACGAACATATTTGTTATCCAACATATACTCCCTCTGTATCATTTTAGATGATTTTTAAAGAGGCTACTCACATATTAAGAAATCCAATAAAAAATGTAAATTTTTAATATTTTCTATGTTATTATTATTAAAATAAAATTACTTCAACCAATCCCATAAAATACTGCAGAATTCAAATAGTCACAAAAACTAAAAAATATTAAATTCTTACATAGAAAAATGAAACAATCAAGTAATTTGACACACAAAAAAAATCTTTAAAAAATCACTTAATATGATACAGAGGAAGTACAAAAAACAAACTTATAGAATCTTTCCTGAAAATGAAAAGAATAAACGATATCCATTAACATATTATTGTCATAAAAAGTGAAGTCTAGTTATTATACTGACCAATATATATAAGTATATTGTATTAGGATTTAGTTTTGATTGTTCAGGGTTTGTTAAGGGGTCAAAATATTTTTTAGGGTTTAGAATTCTAAGATTCAAAGGCTTACAAATCCTTAATTAGTGGTATTTTTGAAAATGGACACACCAAAAGTGATAAATTGTAAAAAAAAAAAAGTTATTTCCACAATCTAAACAATAAAAGTAATTTTAAATATTGTTTTTTTTTTTCGTTTGTATACCAGTTTCCAACGTGTGTTCATTTTTACGAATTTTGGCGCGCATTTAAAGCTACTTTTTCAAACTAAAACATATAACTAAACTAACAAATGAAACTTTTGAAAACCATACTAACAAAATTTAACATGCAGTTAGTAAGACTTTTCGCCCGCTTTGAAAGTTTATTTTATACCGGTTTCCAAGGGATAATGTATTTCAATAAATTTTGGCTCACTTTGAAAGTTTTTTCTCAAACTGAATAAACGTTAGACTCTTAAGAAACATCCTAAAGATCGAAAATCTTTAATTATTAATGACCATAACAATTACAACAACTAAACAAGTTCCATTATAAAGAAGTTGTTCAACAGAATGTAATTGTTGATTTACGATGATACATATATAGTTTTATTCATAAGAAACATATTATGATACTGGCCGTTACACGGAACCAATTTCAAAGACTTGGATCCCTTGACATTGAATCACTTGAGTTTGAATCGCTAGAGTTTCGATCGCTAGAGTTTGGATCACTAGAGTCTGAATCGGTAGAGCTTACATCGATAGAGCTTGCATGGATAGAACTTGCATCGATAGAGCTTGCATGGATAGAACTTGCATCCATAGAGCTTGACTCACTGGAGCTTGGTTCGTTAGAGCTTGGATGGTTAGAGGTTGGTTTGATTGAGCTTGTCTGACTAGAAGTTCGTTCGCTAGAACTTTGATTGCTAGCGCATTGATCAATAGAACTTGGCAAAAAGGGATTGCCAAATATCAATGGAGGATGGAAATAAAATGGATGAGACCTAGACGGATCATAATAGGATGGGCATACAATCACCTGTAATCACAACAAAATTTAAATTAGTTAACAAAATACTATTTAACCACATATCTTACATATTTGTAATTGATAAGAAAAGTAATCACCTCAACAGTGGTTTCAGCAACAAGATTTTGCACTATTCCTCCAACCGTTGCACCATGAGCATCAGACATAACAAGGTTTATCTCCCCATCAATTTCTCCCGTTTTAAGAGGTATAATTCTACCCGATAACGACATTATTTGGTAGACGCCCTTTGTAACAAACAAAAACAACTTTAAAGAAATCATAAACAACATATGTGAAACCGAATATGTTTTTTATTGGAACCATACCTCATCATAAGTTTTCTTAGAACCCATAGGTAAAATAACTTTACGCACAAATCCCAACGCAGAAAGTATGAGTAATCCTAGTTTCAATTTCAATGCATAAGCATGTAGGACATGGATTACATCCTGACAATGAAATAAAATGGAATAAGAATCAACTTGTAATGATTCTATTATATGTATTTGTTGTAAAGAAAAATTCGTGAGTACAAATACCATTCCTTTTTCGATTTTGATGAAGATAGGTGCCAAAGGTTCGGACTTCACATCCACATTGCATTTCAATTCTATATAGGAAAGAACAAACCTTAAGTGAATTCATGATTCAGAATTTGGAAAAGAAACTTAATAATTTGACCAAAAATATAATAAAATGAATAAAAACGAGGGAGCTAAATTGTATTGTATTGATCATATTCGTACCATCTGGACGGGTTGGAGATCCGTTGGACTAAAACATTTAAACCATGAAATCATGAGATATAATAAAAGAGAAGGTAGAAGAAACTAATAATATTTGTTTTAATAAATCAGAAGAAATTACTGAAATACGATTACTACGCCCCATTTTGTTGTTTGTGCAGAAGCAACCAAGAAATGGAAGTAGTTAAAGATTCGGGATGTGGAAACAAGAAGAAGAGATGAGATTTTATAAGGACAAGGGGATGAAGTGGCGAACATGGTTGAAATACAGATTCTACATAATAACTCTACTAAAAAATGCTCTATTTAACAACCCTATTCAAAAGTAATGGAAATGTAATTGGTATAAATAAGGTAAGAGTATGATTATAGTCTATAGTTTTTTTTTTTTTCAGAAAGATTCTAAAGGTTTTTTTATATAAATTACATAGTTATTACTAAATACGAACATTTTTCTTCAGTTGTGGACAAGAATAATCTTTTTTAGTAATCAGTTATAAACATTTTTGTAGAAGAATTTAAACCAAAGAAAATCATTAATCCGATATATTTTAGTTTTACTATTTTACTCTCTTTCTATTATCCTTACAAAAATCAGTCAATGTGGACATTAACATTAAATGTTTTCGGTATATTGATGGAAATAACTTAATTTAATATTTTGTATTTGACTTGTGCATGGCCCACACATGGTTCAACAATATTGATATATGTACATACTAGATATTATATTGTTTGACTAACTGATTGTTTACTTTAAGTATTTGAGTAGTATGGCCAAAAGAATTATAGTAAATTATTTGTATTTGTGTTTGACTAATGACTATTTTTTTCAGTCGAATAGATTTAATGATTTATGTTTCTATCATGCATATGTTTATGGTAATGTATTATAAAAAAGATTTTTCATTTTTAAATATTTTGCAAACACGATACAATCCATTTTGATTCAGTTTAAGTAGCTCGCTTTTAGAATTATAGAAGATAACATTTTCGCATTTAACTAAGGGATAAAAAACAAAAACAGGGGGAAAATGTCAATTTATGTTTCAGTCATGGGTATCTATTACGATTCGTACGACTTGTGCCAATACATAAACTCGTGTTATTTTGAATTTGCACACCCCAACAAAAATGCCTACATCGATTTGCCTATGTTAGCCAACCCAGAAGAATTCTGAATTATTTAGTGAGCGATTCATAATAAAAGAAGAAAAACATTGTGTTTATTCTCCATATATGGATTAACTTCTCAAAATGATGTCGTTTTATTCAATTTTAATCAAAAGACGCCGTGTGGTCATTTTTGTGGATATATCATCTTCATCTCTTACCCACGAACATTGTTAGGATTTCGGTTGCTCGACGACATCAGTTAGAACATCTTCTCATTGAATCAAATGTTATCTCCGGTTTTAAGGTTTAATTTGGCCTCAATTTTTTTAGTTTGGATAAAAATAACACAAATGAATTGAATAGATGATGCTATATGTATAGGCGTGAATTATTTGTAAATGTACGAAATGCAATAGAACCCCATGGTTCGGGGAAAGAATTGACCATTTATTCACATAAATAGTCCACCAAAGTCTTAAAAAGAA